GGAGTATAATGTGTTCCTGGCTATAGCTAAAGTGTGTCTCTTTATTTGATCTCCAATGCTCACCAACTCTATATATTGTGTCATTCCCTTAGCGATACGCCATGCCCACTTAATATATTCCTCGTGGAATGTTGGTAAGGTATCATGTCTTATAATGATTGTTAACTTTTTGTTATTTAAAAAAAAAACTACTCGTAATTTAATCAATAATCTCTACTTATTTATTTTTTTAAAGAAAAATCTCTACTCATTTCTTAATACTACAAATAAATTATTCTCCATTACAGTTGTAATTCAAATCTCTCGATAGAAATAGGACAATTTTCAAATCAATCTTTGTCCATCTCCTCTATATGTCATTTGTCTGATTTGTATATATACCCTTTTCAAAATACTCTTGCCGTCTCTTTTGATCATGAATTAAATATAATTTAAAATAATTAAATATTATAATCATATTATTTTTCAAAACTACTCCTTCCGCCCATTGTCTTTGTCCACTTATCTTTTGGCACACCATCCAATGCACTTCTTTAATTCATTTTATCTTGTAATTTGTATATAAAAAAATTATAGAAATTATATATTAATAATCTATATGTTAAGAAAAATCAAACAAGATCACACATGACTATATTTAGGCTTACACATTGAGAAAATTTGATGAGTCAAAGTGCTTAGATGAACAGTTCCAAAAGTCAAAAGTGGACAAAGACAGTGGGACGAAGTTAGTATATTTTAAAATGAATCTAATTTTACTAAATTTACATTATAACTAAATATATTTTTTCCATATAACTCACGGTCAAAGAATGTTACAATTTGACCAAAAAAATTAAATTGTGACAATATTTTAAAGACGGCGGGAGTATCTTTTTCAATACCATAACTATATTCACAAAAATAATTCTAGTGCAAACTGAATTAATTAATAAATACGGAGTATATACTCATATGAATGAATGTGTCACATTATGAATCACATATATTAATATGTACTCGATCATTAATTGGATAATGAGAAACACGGCTTTAAGTCATAATCAACTTTATTAAATTAAAGCTTTCTTTTAGTATCAAAATCAAAAGCTTCTTTAATTCGTCCTTCAATTATTAATTTGTATGAGCTAGTGTCTAGGTACTATTCCATCGGTCTCATTTTAAGTTGTCTTTTGTTGTTTACGATATTTGACTGCGGTTATTTTTAAATAAATTTATATAAAAATTTGAATAGAATTTCATCAAAAAATAACAGAAGATCGAAGCAAATCCCATCTCTGTACTCCGATCTCATTGGCGAATAATCTTATTTGTTTGATGTTTGGCCTTCATCTTTTTTCTTCATTCTTCATTCTTCAATTTGATGTGAGACTTACTGCCTATGCTATTTCTCCTCTTTTGGACTTATTTCCTGTGCCACTGCCTCTTTTAAACAATATTATTTTTTTGATTGTTCAATTTGCTTTCTTTAGAATCTGATTTGATTGTGTTTAATTTACCAAAACACATTTAATTGTCTTTGGAATATAAATATTTACAAAAAAACAAAAATAAAATGTATTGAGTTGAAAAAAAGTAAAATTGAGTTATTAATATATATATATATACACACACACACACATACACACACACACATTGGTGCATTTCGATAGAAAAAACTTCCATGTCCCATCTTTTTATAAAAATATACTATGTGGTACCTTAAAATATTCAAAAACTTACTCTAGGATACTCATTGTTGTTTTTGTTACAATTATTATTATTATTATTATTATTATTATTATTATTATTATTACTATTATTATTATTATCACTCACTTTGCCGTTGTCTTCCATAGTTATCACTGGTCGCCGCTTTTGCCTATTGAGTGAGTCACGTTAAATTGCCTCCGCGCGCACTCTTATAATAATAATAATAATAATAATAATAATAATAATAATAATAATAACAACAACAACAACAACAATAATAATAATAGTACTGATAAGAGTAATAGTAATGATAATAATAATAACAACAACAACAATAATAATCATAACAATATAATAATAACAATAATAATGAAGAAGGAAAAAATAAGTATATAGGAAAAAATAAATAATCTTACTCGATCTGACAAATAAAGAGTGAGAATTGTTCTTAGTACGTACGTACAGAAGCACACTTCATGCTACATATGGTCGTTTTTTAATACCGTTGTCAAGAATCAAATCCGAATATTATATTAACAACATTTCCATCCCTTTTTTGTCATTTAATTTATGCCTCTATGGCTGAATTGGCTTCTTGAGAAGAGAGTACATAGAGAGTTAAACATGGAAGCCTAAAGCATAACTTAGGCAGTTTTTCATGTATATGAACAATCCAGTCCACATGTTATTGTTTGATAACCTTACAATATATTAGTACTGCAAACTACTACTAGCTACCAGACAAACACCCCTTTTGTTGAATTCCTATCTTTTGTGACCTTGTGGGTCCCCTCCTTTCTCCCTATCACTCAACTAGTCCTACTCGGCAGGTCTACAATTTAATTGTGCTAGCTATTTACCGAGTACATACATATGCTTTAGAGCATTAACAATGGCAAGACGAAAATAGAATGCCACACGGTGACATGAAATATTTTAATCAATAAAAAATAGTCCAGTCAGCGTGTGGCAAGTGAATGGAGTGGCAAGTCTTACCATGGCAAGTCATTATTTTTATCACTTTTTTACATTTTTTTATGTTTTTTAAACATAAAAAATATTTTTATTATTTATTTTATTAAAAAATTATTCTACTTTCTTGTACACTTTTTTTCATAAAAAATTTTAAAAATATTATTTTAAAAAAAATAAAAAAAAGGATGAAGTGTCACACTTATGCCTCACCAAGCAAGGGATTTTGGCCTTGCCATGCCATGATATGAGTGAAAGAAGATGACGTGACAGTGCAAGGCATCCCTTTTACTTGCCATTGCACATGCTCTAAAGGAAAGTAAAATGTCAATTTTTATTGACTCCATCTTTCACCCAAACAATGTTTTACACATAAGCTCATCACAAAGGAAAGTAAAATGTCAATTTGTATTGCATAATTATCTTATTTTTTTCTAAAACTTAAATATTTTTAAAGTCTTTATTTGATTTATATGTCTAAAAATAACTCCAAAATTTAAAATAAAATAATTTAGTAGATTTCATACATGTTTTATTATGTTTTGAATTTATTCAATACAAAATGCAAGTGTTAATGTAAATTTAAAAATTTTAAAACTAAATTCATAACCTGTTGGGTCGATCTCAACACAATGACATTGGGTCATAAATATACAGTTTTCAATCGGAAGCGGAATAACCCAAATCTGGAGTAATCCGACCTAACTGACCAATTTGCCAGCTCTAATTTAAGCCCAGAAATAATATATATATATATATATATATATATATATATATATATATATATATATATATATATATATATTGATGATATCCAATGCCAGAAGTCACTTCCAGTGTGTTGTTTGTTAACTAGAGTCATTATTTATTGCAACTATATTCTACAAATGTCATCTATGGTCAGAATCTTAGTCCACAGTCATAATTATTATTGATGTTTTGTCCGTCAAGCCGATATCAGAACACGTTAGTGGACATGGGGTCAGTGCGAGATTGCACTTTTAGCCCTTAATTTTAACAGTAGCATAATAGAACGTCAAAAAAAGACTATACGTGGAAATTAAAGGTACTCATAGGAGAAGATCAAACACGAACATAACATTTAATATAATAGATGATTAAATATAGAAAATTTCTTTCTTAAGAGAGCAATTATAAAATTTACTATATGAAAAACTGACCTAAAAATAAGTAGTTGAGACGTACCCTACTTATTCTTTCTGGCTTATAAGCAGCTTATAAGTCAGCTTACAAGCATACAAAAAGATGTCACCAGGTGAGTTATCAGTTAAAAATTGCTTATAAGCAGTTTTGACCATCTTATAAACATAGAAAACCACCCACATAATTTAATTCTCCCACCGTCTAAAAATTATCTTCCCGTTACGCGTTTCGATGTTTGCCTAAATTTATTTTTCAAATCATTTTATATGAAAAATGCTGTGAAGTTGAAAAATAAAATTTACATATATATTAAAAAAACTAAATTAAAAGATGTACAAAACTAGAGTTGACGTGACCTTATTAATTCATCAAATGGGTGACGGAAATAGGCCAAAAGTGAATAAAGTTTAATCCTGTGAACAGTGAACGGGAAGACATTTTTTGGATCGAGGGAGTATAAACTTTGTGTTTCAATTAGTCTCAATTTGTATGATATATTAGTATAATGAAGAATGAGTTTGAAAGTTTCCAATTAGATAAATCTTATAAAATCCTTTTTGTACTAAAATACATTACAAATTATATTTAATTAAAGTTCAAAGTTCATACTCCTTCCGTTTGCAAAAAAGGTTCATACTTTGACTTGGAGCCAAAATAAGGAAGTGTAAAATTATAGTTGACTTTTAATTTTACCCTTGATGTCATGGGTAAAAGTAAGATGTGATGGATAGATTATTAGAGAAAAAGTATGATGTGATAGGTAGGGTATGAAAAAGTAAAGGTGAAAGTGGTTTTTTAATAGAAAGTGGAAGTATTTTATAGGAAGTGGAAAAAATGAAAGAGGACGTGTTTTTTAGAACGGATGGAGTACAATTTATAGCAAAAAAATCAAATTAGATAAATACGCGAACATTGCGAGAAAGCAAATATATTACTCCCTCCGTCCCTAAAACTTTGTCACACTTGTATTCCCAAGGTAAAAATATCAGGCTTTTTCAGTTTATTTTATTTACATATTGGTATAGAAATTAAAAATAAAATTTATATATCAAAAAACTATAATAAATATGTAGAAATAAATAAAAATTTTCGCAAGTGCTGAAAAAGTAAATGTTGCAAATATTTTGGGGTAGATACACCCTTAGTAAACGTAATTGTGGGCTGTATAGGCTGTCATGTCACTTTCATAGATATACTCACTCTTCCCTTCCCTTCCCTTCTGCATTTATGCATTTCACTTCATTCTCTTCTCATTTATTTTTTTATTCATTATTCCATTTTTTCCCCTTTAATTTCAACTCCTCCAACTCTCCTCCTCTGCACTCTTTGAATAAAACCCAGTTTTATTCTTGCAGTGAATGAAGTTTTGTGTTTCTTGAAAAAGTGCAACAATAAATTATTATTGATTTTAAACTACATAAGTCTACATAAGAGATTTATTTATTAATTAAAGATGCCCTTATTAGAAGAAGATTCTTCTTCTTCCATCCCTTTCCCAGATCTCTCCCTTCACATTAGTCTTCCCCGGAGCTCCGGTGACCGGTCATCGTCCGCGGCGGTCACGGACACCGAGCTCTCGTTAAGTACTTCCGGCCGCCGGCCACGGGGCGATGGGGTTTCCACGACGGAGCCGATTAACGGGATCCCGGTTTACCACGACCCGAGCGGCACCTGCCTCCGCTCCTCCTTTGCGGCCGCTCACCGGAGCGTGGCCGGAGCATCGGCGGGCAGGGTTGACGGGATGGCGGCGGCGGCCGGTTTTCATGAAATGCTGCAGCGGCAGCACTATTTCAACAGCCACCGGTACGGTGAGTTTCCGGTGGCTCACGGCGGGGCGATGAGGCCGAGATTTTGCCCAAAATTTCAGGCGAGGCGGAGCACGAGGGCGCCGCGTATGCGGTGGACAACCACCCTCCACTCCCGGTTCGTTCACGCCGTCGAACTCCTCGGCGGCCATGAAAGTAATATTATTTTCATCACCAAGTATTTATTTCTTATTATTATTATTATTATAAATAATGATTTATTATTATTATTAATTACGCCGGTATAATAATAATAATATTATTATTATAACAAGTCCGTACAAAATATTAGTTTTGTCTTTAACAATATTTTTTAAAAAAACAGAATTTTTTAAAACAATACTTGAATATTTGTTTGAAAGAAACTTGATCTTGAAAAAAATTGATAAGTAATATTTTTCAAAAAAAAATAATAATACGGAAGAAAAGAAGTAATTTTGGTTTCTTAAAAAATAAACATTTCAGAAGTATATTGTTAATCACGACATCATCAGTTCACTTGATTTTTACTAATCTAAAGCAGTAACTTCTCGTAAACTATTTAATTACTTTTTTTGGGCAGTCAAAAAAATTGATTTACTTTTTTGGAACAAAATTTTCAATTTTTTTAAAAATAGGTTTAGATATATACTACAGTAGCTTTTAAAAAATAATTGAGTTCATTTTACGAATTGTAGTATTTGCAAATATTCTTAAAAAAAAGTATAAAACTATCAAGACCAAAAATACATTTCTCCCTAAAATAATACTCCGTAATAATAATGACAATTATAAAATATAAACAACAACAACAACAATAAATTAATTAATAATAATAATAATACTAATAGTCGATGTGGTAATGAATGAAAAAATAAATACTTGTAAATAAGGAGTAATAGGGTTTTTTTATTTAATTTGTGTAGGGGCAACCCCAAAATCAGTGCTAGAGCTAATGGATGTGAAAGATCTCACCCTAGCTCATGTCAAGAGCCATTTACAGGTACACATATATACTCTCTTTCAATTCAAAAATTAAAATTTTTACTCCATATTTAATTTATTACGCAGTATTTAACCACTCAATTGAATTAATTATCCATTTTTAAATCTTAATTGTTTTTTATTTTGAGACAAAAAATTGTTTTCAATCTTTTTTTAATTTTTGAAAAAATAAACAAAGAAATGCCTAGGTTTTGTTTGGCAATCTCGATCTATCTTATCTCCTCTGTCCGGAAATGTTTTTCCCATTTGACTTTTCACGGTCTTCAAGATTGCATTGCACCACTAATATCTGTATTTATACGCAATTATATGTTATAAAAATTTGATATTTGAAAATTACGTTTCAATACGATGAATATATTGATACTAAATTTATATCATACTCACAATTTTGATTAAAAAAAGTCAAATGAGAAAACATTTCTAAACGGAGGAATAATTAATTACTAATATCCCCTCCCGAAAGAGTAGCCGACAGTGAATGAATGTGTGCAGTAAAAATGAAGTTTCTGAGTTTCTTCTGATCTGATAATGGCAGAAATTAAAAAAAAAAGATGAGAGAGAAAAATGAAAAAGAAAAGGAAAAATAAAAAGTCCTAGGAGGGGGTGGGGTGGGGGTCATCATTTCTCAATAATACAACCTACTACTACCCTATAATAACCTAGTTATGAGCCTCTAGCCTGTCTCTGCACATTTTATCGTACGTACATTTGACCTTGACCTCCCCCTGCCCTCGTGATTTGTGGAGCAAACAAAAAATTAAATTTTGAATATAAAAATTTTGTCATACGTATATATACCCTCCCTAGGGTCCTTTCTTTCACATTAAAAAGTTTTGTCACAATTTAAATTTTTCAGTCAAATTATAACATTTTTTGATCGTGAATTATGGAAAACATATACTACCTCCGTCTCTGAGTATTTGTCCACTTTCATTTTTACACACTATTCAATACACTTCTTTAATCCAT